AATGCGAAGAATATCGGCACACCATGCGTGATTAATCCTCCACATCATCATCGAGAGAACGTACTATAAATCTTTGCACATAAAGCGTCAATCTGATCTCAGGTGCAGTAAAAAGTGTCGGTCGCCCACTTCCAAGTACATGTGTCCTCGATAATCTTCTTCAGATGGTTCTGATCCTCATTCCTTGATGATGTTTGATGATCTGCATTTAGCACCTGAGGCTTTGGTGATCACAAGCTCAGCCCAGGCATTTGCATTTGGAGCTCACTCATTCCACATCCTTCTTCAAAACCCTAATAAGTTCTCGAGAGACGTATCAACCTGCAAAGCCTCGACTTAAATTTCACTTTATATTTGGAGTGTACTTAGAGAGGTATGTGATCACACACTTCTGTAGCAAAATGAGAAAGTCACATGTTCAAGAACTCACATGTCTCAGGTGAGGACCCATTTCGAATGATGAGTCTAGTCTTATCATCCTAGAAATTGCCTTCACTGCACTGAAGTCGAGATATAGTTTATTTCAGTCGTGCACTATTTCTGGCCCCGCTCAAAGAGATTCAATGGTTCAAAGAGGTTCAAAGAGATTGCATCTCGGTCGACGTGAATGAGGAACTCATTCACACTCATGCATCATCACTCACTTCATGATGTATGCATGAAAGTCAAGATGCATCTTGCCTCCACCTCCTCCTCCTATCAGAGAGTTTGTGGAATGGGTTTCCTCCTTGCTTGCTATGACTTGATGACCACCACATCACATGGACCAAGCTCCTCAAAGCCATATTAACAATTTCATGGGCATCGTGTAGCTGACCAAAGACGGGTGAATTTTACATGTTTGACGACGTGGTGAGTGATGCAAAGGGAAGGGGAAGAAAAAGATACGAGCGAGGGATGTGCAAAACAATGATCGCAAGGAATTTGACCTGATCTCGCTTGAGATTTCCGACAAATCCCTCCACATGGCGCGTAGGCAGCAACTCGATCCAAGGTAGAGGTGAAAGTGTAATGTGCATCATGTTGCAAGAATCAATTTTCCAATGATACATGGACAAAGATGCTTCACCAGAAACCGGGATGCAAAAAAGCTTACAGCATAGGAACAAAATGTGCTGCCTCCAACGAAATTCTCTTGGAGACCACTTTGTGGGTCGAGCATCATCCGAAAGGGTGCTCGCTCGCTCGCACGCAGCCGCATGTAGTAAAGTGGCAGTTTTTCCTACAGGGAAAAACTGCCACTTTACGTGCGTCATATTTGGGGGCCTTGTTATATTATGATCTACTCATACGAACATGGCCGTCGTCGCGGATCACAAGAACAGTGCATGTAAGACTTTCTCGGTATACAATATATTTTCCATCTGACCGAAGCATTTGGGCGTGTCTCCTATGATTGTCCAACAAATGTCTCGGTTCGTTGGGCCTTGAGCATCACCCCATCGCACGAAAGATGCGTGGGCAAGAGGAGGCTTTTTCCCTCGGGTGGGCGTGGTGGGGAGCACGGCCATGAGATGAGGATCGAGCCTTTTCCCCGTTGGAAAGGAGAAGAATGTTTTGTGGTGGATTCCTCCAGCAAAAACCCTCCTCCGGAAGGTCAATAGACGCCTCCCACCCCCACCCCCACCCCCTGCGCAGCACAAGGCTGCCACCAAAATCATCACAAGAGCGCAGAGCAGTCTCTGGCCTGCCATGCCCTGCCCTGCCCTGCCCTGCCCGCCACTGCAGTGCCCAGCTACTACAGTGAGTGCCAAGCCCAACGCAAAGATACTCGAGAGGAGCGAACGAGCGAGCGATGGCGATTGAGAGAGAGAGAGAGAGAGAGAGAGAGAAGAGGTGCTCCTGCTGCACGCATGGCTACAATGGCTGGGCTCAGGCGAGCTCTCGCTTGAGTGTTTCGACGCCAACGTGGTTCAGAAAACGCGTCCCAGGATTTTACTTGTTCAAGCGAATAGCCTTTAGCTCTTTTTCTTTTCTCGTCTCTGCTGCTGGCTCGCGTAGGCTTTAATAAACTGTAAAAGGGAAAAGAAGAAATAAATCACCGAAGGATGTGGTTGAGTCGCGTCGCTCTTCAAGGCGCGCGCGCGCTCGCTCAGTCAGGCGACGCTCGAGCGACGCTTTTCCTCTCGCCCCCTACGGTGGTTGAGAAAAGGGTTGACTTGGTTGCATCCGAGGGCGTTCTGAATTTCCGAGCCTCTTGGCGCTACTACAGTATCCCTCCCGCTTCTCGGATTTGACTCGCCGCGCGGTCAATGCCGATGGCGCCAAAGGCAAATCTTCGCAGCACCTAAGACCTCGACGCATGGATCTATCTATCTATCTATCTATCTATCGATCGATCCCCACGTCGAAAGTACGAGAGGCGCACTCGAGCGGGCCCATCGCATGGCGCTATTGACTTCCGGCTTCCATATATTTCACCGACGATCTTTTCGGCGAGAATATGCTCATCGAGCCGCGGTCGCCATCGGGTCGAGACAATTCTCGGGGCAGGTCGCTCCAACGGGAGCAACGTCTCTCCCCTCCTCGTGACCTCGGCCCGGATTGTAGACTAGGAAGCCCATGCGCTCGCATGTTCTTGCGAACGAAGTTCGTTCTCGGTACAGCAAAAGGTTTGCGCGATTAAAAATTCGATTAAATTTGTCGTGGTCGGACTCGGGAGAGGGTGGAGGAGTACCGACGGGTCGCCATTGGAGCCCCACTGCCACCGGCGGCCGATGGATAAGACTGAATCGAGCACCGAGTGGCATATTCCTCGTCTCGGGAGAATTCAATCATCCGTATAATTTAAATTAATCTCGGCGAGCAGGTTAACAATGATCTGCCCGTCCTCGGCGATGATGATGCAGCTCATGCGTCCCCATGCCACTCCGAGCACCGAGCACCGAGTACCGGGGCTCGTACTTTCCCTCGTACGAGAGGCAGCCGCTCCCCTCCACTCCTCGTAGCACATGCTCGCCGAATGTCCCAACCGGACGAGCCGCAACTGATCTTCTGGAAATCCGGTGCCGCATCCAAGAATAAATCATGACCACGCCATCCCGCGCCTCACATGGGCCCCGGTTCCCACTGCAGTTCCCATTCGGTAACTCGGTTGGGCCCGTCCGTGGTCGCTCCTCTCGCCCTCGACTCACCACATGGACACCCTCAATAGCGCACCCTCTCCCCGGGCTATTATTTACCGACTCGAGGTAACATCCGCTATCGGAATCTAGCATCGGCCCTCGGAGAGGATATGGTGAGACCTACGGTCCGGAGACTGTGGACGGAGGGGGCCAATCATGAATCCTAGCGGCCCTTTCCGCTGCTATATTTGGCCGCGTCTTGGCTCGTAGGGAAAGATGTAGCCGGTTATATAACTGAATTTAAGCTCTGCCATGTTCGTGGCTATCTTCATCGCTGAGCGTAGTTATTATTCACCTCCGAAGTAGTTATGCCTGGGGCCTCCCCATTTTGGCCGAGTTTGTCCAACTTGGGAGAAGTCCGGGAGAGCAAAAGTCCACTGCCAGGCTAAATCTGGAGGCGGAGGGGCTATAATTGGCCTGGGTCTCTGACCTTCCCGGCGATCTTTTGGTGTCTGTCTGCTTCCTTCTGGAGCTCGAGAGGAGGGGAGGGCAGGGCAGGGGAGGGCAGGGGACACATGCCATTGGGTCGAAGGCCTGAAGGGCGATGGCGATGGAGGTTCATTTTGCTCAAAGAGTTTGGGAGTTCGAACACGATCGGTGGGGCCCGTGGCGTCATCCATCTCCGGGGAGCGATGGAGGGCGACGGAGTGTAAGAAGGGCCCAATTTTAACCGGGCTTTGTCGTGTGCAGGGCCGCCGGATTGCAAGCCCGGGAGTGCCCGATTAGCGCTGGGGGAATGGGAGTTGATCGCTCGGCCTGTCATGAATGCCAATGACGATCCCATGTCAAGGCCGGGCTAAAGACAACCGGCAACATGCCGCAGAGGCTAATTGCAGACGACGTGCCAATTTTAATCCCTCATCTGAGCTCTCGCCACCTCCTTCGCCCTCAGCTACTAATTGGCGCTAGGACTTTTGGAGGACTGCAGCTTCACCAACGATCCAATATTTATGTCTCCGGGCCCCAAACTCCGCTCTGAGACGCCGCCTAAAAACAACAATATCGAGAAAATGCCTCGACGAGCTCCAATCATGAAAGCTTGTATGCTTGTAGCCGAGGATGAAGAAAAAGCGAGCGACATCTCAGGTGTTTGCATCAATCGCTCATCATGAGCAGCTTATCTCCTCGCCTCTTCCTCGTCGTCGGCCCTCGGGCCGGGTTTGAATCCCCCTACCCTCCCCTCGCACTTACTTATGACTCAGCGCACGGTTTAATGGGGTTTCCCCATTTCTCCTCGACGTTTCGGGCATGTTTACACCTCACCACTCGAAAGCACTCAATCCTTGGACAAGTTGATGTGATTTCAAATTCGGCTCCTGCTCTCATGCTCTTTGCGTTTGAACGGATCGCCCTCTGCTCGCTCGCTTGTGCATGGATTCGGCGCTTGAGTACAACAAGAATAACGGACACACTCGTGTGTGGTCACCGACATCCACGGCACCTCCTGCGCAGTCTCCATCCCCACTGGAAACAACTGAACGGGGCTCCGTCTTTCTTTTCGCATCTTAATGTAACTCAACTTTTTAGACTCAATCTCGGGCCCAGAGGTTTGCGTGAATTTTTAGATCCCTTAAACTGTACATACCGGTACTCAAGTCTGTCGCGACAAGCGAGTCCAAAAGCTCTCGATTCGGTGCGATCCCTCGTTTGGTCTTTCCAGAATTTAGCCCAGAGTTAGATAGGGCCGTGAGAAGAGTATCATTCGAAGGCGTGAGCGCTCTGATTCACTCGTGTGTGTCGTTACGGGCAGACCCCAAATCTTGTACAGTACCACTCCGTCTTCTTCTCCTAACTGGCGGTCGTGAGCTCTAGGGTTTCTGGCACTTCCATGCAGGAGTGTGCCAATTCTGAACACTGCTTGTGATTTCTCGTGTGTCATAGCCTAAATTTTATCCTAGGGACCTCATTTTTACTCGATGTCTCCGAGCTGGAGCTAGGGGAAATCTTAGGTGAGGAATTAGAATGAGCTGCTAAGCAGTGAGTCACGTCGCCGCCATAAAATTTCTCCAGTGCCGGCATTTGGGTTCTCTTTCCAAGTTTAGGGCAGCCAGATCCGTCATGCTTCTTGCGACATGGATGGATGGAGGGATGAAAGATTGCAAGTAGTCGTCGAAGTTCTTGAAAAGAATGGAGGCTGGCTTGGGGGCTCGACCTCGACCTGCCTCGGCCTCCCTCGGCCTCCCGTTCTTTCGACCACCACAAACTTCAAGAAAGACAGGCTAGCAAGCCTCGAGAATCCGCCGAGTGACAGCGAACCGACGAAACCCAGCGATCGACGAGCTACGTTTGAATCGACTCGATTCTCGTCAGCACCGACTTGCACTAGGATTTCAAACCTCGCTCGTAGTCGGGCGCCGACTGACGCAGACTTTAGTCGTCGAGGCAGAAAGGGAGGTCCAGGAATCTTGAAAGTCTTGAAACCCCGATTCAAATTTTCCCACTTTCTCTACCTACGCACACTAAATCGCTCGCTCGCTCTCTCGCTCGCCCCCATTTCAAGAAAATGCACGGTCGCGCTTCGGAGAAGCAACCGAAACGAAGCCGGGGCACTCGAGAACTCCACACGTTTGGAGCACGGCGGTCTTCCAACGGGAAAGGGAGCGATGAAAGTAAAATTTTTAAAATCCGGGACGCACGGAGCGAGTCGAGACGAATCGAGTCGGGGTGAGAAGAAATGAGTCGACATGAGTAATGCGGCCGGCCTGCCGTCATCGATCATTGGACCGAGGTCTGTTTGTTCCCGATAGATTCGAGAACTTGTCACCTACTTCCTAGCTTCGCTTTCTTCTTCTTCTTCTTGCGCCGGCCCCACCGCGACCTCCAGCAGGAAACCCGATCTGTATCATGCGAGAGCACTAGAACATTTAAGGTCGGATAGCAGCCTGCAACTTGATCGAGCAAGGCACCATGATGCCCTCGCATTTAGGCGAGGAATTACCGTGAATATTTTCAAGTTTCAACCCTCGATTCAATCATGAAGTTCGTGGCTTCCCTCCAAAACCCTGCCCTCCCATTAGACCGAGTATCCTTTACATGCGAGATGAAGAGTGAATGAATCACGAGAAAGCGTTAAAAGCGATCCACATTAGGGAACATTCATTCTTGGTGCTCGTCTATGCCCCAGGCTCTAGCTGGCGCCAGGATGGTGCGCGAGTACACTTGGGTGGGACTGGAATTGGACCTCGATCATTCCCATTCGATGTCGATATGAGGTGTCCTAGCATCTTGGCCATTTTCTTTCACCGAAGCGCTAGAACAGATAGAAAGGTGTAGAATTTGAATGGCCGCACAGAGAGAGAGAGAGAGAGAGAGAGAGAGAGAGGAGAAAGTGAGAGAGAGAGAGAGAGTAGAAAGTGAGGCTACGGTGCACTTTAGGTCCGAGTGACAGAATCCGTGTCTGCAAGGGAGGAAAGCAGATACACGAGATGTGCAGGTTTCAGAGTGTGGGGCGCCGAGGCATCGCCATGTTTGCATCTCACACGGTTTCAACATTTACCACAGCTTCAGCTGCGGTGCAGGATGTTCATCTTGCAACGGCGACTTGTAAAATTTATCAGACGAGAATCTTCTGAACCAATAAGGTGCACATGACGGCCTTGACAATTAACCTTCGTGGTACCAAAGGCCTAAACCCTGCGCCCTTATCCTCAGTGCGAACTTGCCATCTGACCACCTCCATAGCTTCCGTGGCCAGCATGAACCGCCATGACGAGCAGCAGGAGCAGGAGGAGGAGGGCTCGTCTAAACCTAGTCTAGCGAGAAACTAAAAAACCCCATGTCTATAGAACGATGGGGCATCTTACAGTTTCTCTCTTTTGATCGTCCCGTACAGAACGGATCGAGCGTTGTGTAGTTCATGTTAGAGGCAGGGGCAGGGTTGGCAGCGGGAGCAGCAGCAGCCGCAGCAATCAACTCGACGTTTGTGGCTATCCATGCAGAAAAGTATAAAATCATGATTTTCCTATTCTACCCACCTTCAGCCCGACCTCGACCTTGTCTCAGAATATAAGCTGGCAATCTATCTGTAAGGACAATGGAGGTACGAGGCATTAAAGGCACTGGCAAGTACAAAGCCGGGCCGAGAACAATGAGCTTATCCTGCCCAACGTTAGGACCAAAAGAGCTTTTAGGACAATTCCTGCAATTCAGAATTGCGTGATCATACGAGGAGTGGTTCGAACTTGAATGATCGTAAGCTCATGCACAACTACTCCCTCGTGACTCTGCTCTCGGGCCAAATCAACCGGTACCTAACTCATGGAGAGAGCGAAGAAGAGGGGCGGATTTTAGAGGGCTCGATCGCCTTCAAATTGCATGATCGTGGAATGTTCATTTATGGTATATTCTACTGTCCACTAGATTGGGATTTTTTATGATTGTCCACATCCGACAGAGTACGAGGTCTCTATCGTGGACGAGTCTTGCAAGCCCAGATTCTAAATCTCGCACACCATACTCTCGTTGAAGAGATATGGATATCTGCCTCACTGTAGACATTTCTTTCTAGTGATTGCGCACAATATCTCCATGCATTTGTCCGAGGGGCATGCTTTTGCAATGCTTAGCATGAATACCACTCACGGGTACGCCTCCACTTTATAAAAAGAAGTGTGGCCGTTTGTTTGCAGTGTCCTCGACGTGTCATTATGGATGACATCTTCGCCGGCAGAAAATCGTTTCTTGGCAGTTCATCCTCCACGAGGAAAACACGAACTTGCAATCTTCCAGTACTCTCGATTTGTTATGTACATCTACCATTCTTCAAATCGAGTCGATGAGAGGGGACGTAACAATGACAACTCCGGAACAAGACGACTGGACATTCAGGAAGGTCCATTTACGCAACTCTTAATGGTGTTTCGTCTCCTTCACGCGCAAGCATTTCCATTTATTCGGTTCCTCCCATGTGGAATCGAATCAAGTTGGTTGGAAGTAAGGGATTTCTGGAAGTCTGTCCAGCCATTGCTCACACATCCGTCGGTTCATTGCAGCGCTAGTCCACCACTCGCAGATTCCATCTTCGAAGCTGTACAAGCTCGGGTGAATCCTCAACAGTAGGAGCAAGGTACGCGGCCAGGTTTATTCCCAAGAATTTGGCGGAACAAACTCCGGAATCATCATGAACCGGGGCGACGAAGATGCTTCTTCCGTCGCCCTGCCCTGCCCTTTCCCATCCAGAAAAGTTCACCGAGAAGCAAGAGCGCTGGCGAACTGGCAGTCTGGCAGTCTGGCAATCTGGCAACACTGACAATCTCCTTCAGCTCCAAAAGCCTTGAACAGAAGCCGTAACGGAACCATGACCTCCATGAGAACCCGGAACGAAATCAGTAGAATATACCACCGTCGGATGAGAGCTCTCGCACTCGCACTCGCGCTCGCCCTCGGGACATGCAAGCAGCGTGAAATCTTTCTTTCTCTCTTTCTGCTGATTGCTGTCTTGAAGATGAAGAGAGTGAAGATTCTTGAAAAAGGGGGTGCGACCGCGACCCGGCAACAGAGTCGACGATCTTTGCCACACCAAAAGGACGTAGACAGCATGGACGGCACCTACGGCTCGGGAAGAATCACCAGCGAGGACTCCATGACTTGCTACAGATGCAGTAGAAGGGCAGGGCAGAGCAGAGCAGGGCAGGGCAGGGCATGACATGCCCCTACGTAGGGCGGGGCCGGAGCCCTGACAGAGAGCTCGGAGTGCCAGTGCCCACTGCCCCAACCATTGGACCAAAACACTACGAACACAAAAGTACGTGTGCTCTACATTTCCCCATACACACACTTCCATTGAAGATGGAAGCGGACGAGGGCAAAAATCTCCAGCCTTTCACAGGCTCCGTGTGGATAGGTCCGAAGGTGGGGGAGGGGGGTACTCGTAATTAAACCTCAGGTGCTGCAGGAGTAGGAGGGCGAGATTGCGAGAAGATATTTGGCGAGAAGTGAATCCAACGCAAACATCAGATAACATGACATATCAGATAACGCTAGTGATTGCACCTAAAGCATTGCGGCAAGATTTCTAGAGAGTCCTTTCGAGGGAGGGAACGGGATGTGAAATCCGAGCCCCACACAGAGCTACACTTCTTACCCTCTCCCATATCCCCCATGTCCCCCCTGAAGAAGACCAACGAGGAAATGAAAAAATGTCATCACCATGGCATGGTTTTCCCCCCAAAAGTGCAGCCTAAAGAACGACCCCCGCCCCCGCCCCCCAAAGTCCCCACCCCACTCCACCCATCCCCAGGCAAGCACCACCACTTCCGCTTTTACTTTTGTGAAATTCTTAGGCGATGAATAGCCCGCGAGCATAGAGATGGTGATGGATCGACGAAAACGAGTCGAGGCATTTTTCCAGGCACGGCGAAATTTCGTTGGGAGAAGGCCGAAGGTCAAAAGCAAAACAAAGAAAGGTAAGGTAAGGTAAGGGAGCGATGGAGCAAGATCGGCCGAGCCTGGCAACAAATCACCCAATCATGTCCGCCTGCCTCGGACCGTGGACATAGGCCACTCCATTCCACTCCACTCCACTCCAACAGCGCTCTAAAGTGCGCAGCGCAACACAATGATTCTCGAGCTCGAGAAAGAGATGGCATCTGTGCACGCTTGCCACACAGCCTACACCGCAGCAAATATTGCCAGACTCTTTTCCCCTCCCTCCATCGCTCCATCCCTCGGCCCTCCATGCCCTCAGAGCATCGCAGATCTGTCTGCCCAGACGCGGAATATGTCGTGCCCGAAAAGCCATGCGCCGAAATAGAATTCGATGAGCGCCACTGGCAGCGCGACGGTCCTCTTCGGGAATAGGGGACCGCTTCCTCGCCCCGAACATCCGGTCAACGAAAAAAGTTGCTCTTTTCCCCTAAAATTTCGGGCCCCCAGTGCCGACCTTTTACATTCAATAGGGAAGCATGTAGCGAGAGCGCCCGAGCCGATGATACACGAATTCAAATATTCCCCCGAAGGAAAGGTCGCTCACATCTCCCGAAATTACAAAATCAGAATACTTCCAAAAAGACATATATTCACGAAAAAGCGTCCGGAGGCATAAGCAAATGATAACCCCGGCGCCCGCTTCGGATCGACCGGGAGACCGGAAGGAATCGAGTACGGCCCTACGGAAGTCGGTAGTCGGGCCGTAGGCCTACTGCAGTCGGGGGCTACGGTGGCAGCGGCAGGCGTAGGTCGCACCGGGAGGAAGCGAGGGAGGTGACCGAGGGAAGATGCCGTGCCTGCCAGTCATCCACACGGGGCGACAGGCAGTGGCCAGTGACCAGTCCCCAGGGAAGACGACATCATGTCCTGGAAGCATATGGGAAGAGAGGCACGATGGCTCTTAACAAATCAGAGGATGTTTTGCAGGGACACCCAACAACAACATCCTGCTGGCGAAAACTACAATTTCGAACCTTTGTTTGTTCGCGAGGCTAGTCACCTACAAAACAATATGCCATTCCCTCTCTCTCCCTCCCTCTCTCTCTTCGAGAATAATGGACTCCTGCAGCTGCCCAGCTCGGCCGTCTGAAACGGTCATCTACATTCCGAATTTCTCTTGCACAATGGAATAATTCAGGCTTTTGTCGATGGGATCTGTCTGCTTCTCGTCCAGGTCAAATGATGCATGCGTAGAAAAGTGCTCTCTTGCTCTCCTAAGTGTGTCATTTGGATCACCATTATGGACAGCAGGCCGGCTGGCTTGTTGGTTGGTTGGTTGGTTGGTTGTTTTTTAACTCACGATCGTCCAGTGATGGAACCGCTTTTCTGTTGGCCTCTCGAGTGCGGATCTGAACGTCGGCGAATGGCGACCCGTCCACGAGTGGTTTTCGAGTGCTGCCATCTTCCTGAAACTGGAATCTACTGACAGTTGACAATGTTTTCCAAGCTTCGGATCAGACATGTGAGACAATGGTATGTGAAACCGGCCGCCACAGTGAAACCTCAGATCTTCCCTTCCCTTCCCCTCTCTGATACAAGTAGACAAGCCCACCCGGGTAAGCCAGACCTCGTCGCTCGTGGCCGCCACCACCACCACCAACAACAACAGCGACGACAACCATCGTCCGACGTCGTCGTTGTAGCTCTGCATGTCATGTCATATACGTGCGAGGGACCAGATCAGCCATGGTCCGTGCGCGCTTACATCCACACTCGTGCGAACGCCACTTTTGGGCAGCTGCTCCCCTCCCCTCCCCTCGCCTCCCCCCTCCCTCGTCCCCCAGTCCCGAAGAGGAGGCCATTCGTGAAGGTTCGTGGAATCGTGACTCTGTTCGCGCAGAAAGCTTTGACCAAGTGCTTGACTTGCACTCCTGGACAGTGATTTCGTTTTCCGGATCCATTCAAAGCTTGGTTTCTGTCTCGGGCTCTCATTCCGTCGCTCGGAGTTCCATCCGCACATTTTAAATTGTTTCCTTCTAAGCATGTCACCCGAATCACATCATTTGGTACACCGGTGCACAGATCATTAATCGTCCGAGATTAATTTATATTTAATTGATCAATTCAGTTTCTCAACCTGACTATGGAAATTTAATACCTTCTGGGCGAGGCCAATTCTCGCTCAACGATTTCCGTTTTCCCACTCAAACCTTTTTTAATCTCTTTCGCTGTATCTATTTACACCGTGTAAATACAACCAGACATATCTGCAACTTGCAGCTGAGTAAACCGGATCTCCTCCAAAACTCACGACCATGGCTAAGTGCGCCATGATCATGAGTTCTTAGACCTCGTCTTCAGGAGAAAAGCTGCTATTAAATTTGTCGTGTCCTTGACGGAATTTTCTAGACCGAGCACGAGCTGCAGCCAGTTTTAATCTGAACTAAAATTTCGCAAAAAAATTTGGAGACGTAATAAGACCCACCACCATTCATACCGTGGGCAAATCTGAGAATCTAGAGGCACAGTAGTTGAGCTGAATCTACTCGGTAGCGCATAAAACAGCGAGACGTTTATGCATGCACGACGGCCGCACTTTACTCTGTTTCAGTCATCAGTGACGCAAGAATTGCTTGCGAAATTTCAGACTTTAAACCTCGCGGCTTTGAAAAGAGTCGCGCTGCAACTGGAGGCAGTAAAAATGTGTTTTGGTTGTTCGATTTTTGGTTGGAAGGCAGCGCTTGCACCACGACCGAGGCAAGCAAGGAGCAGTGGAGCACACACTTAGCAGAACTAAAACTCCGCGCCTTAAAAAGCTGCACATCTCGAAAATCTGCATGCACAACGAGGACCATTCCCAGATCTTAGTCCACACAGTACTATGCAAATCGGGTCAGTTCCAGATTTAAATAAACAATTTTCTCTGGTTGTCGGCCTATGGCCATAAAAAAAACTGGTGGGGATCATTACATCTTCTATTAGTGAAAATTATTTTCATAGCGGAGGTTTACAAAATCCATCGACGTATCGTTGTTGAAGAGTCGTGGCATTAATAGATTTGGGTGTCAGGATTTGAAATCCAAAAGGAACTCCACTTGCAATCGTACAACAATTTCTACTTTAGAGCTTGGAACAAGAAAGCACCACACTTTCCAACTATATAAAAATGTCGGCTTACAACACTTTCACTTCGAGCTAATTGAGATAAAATAAAATGATTATAATGTTTCTTGGCCTGATGAATTCAAATTTATGTTTTTTGTCATGCATAATAATCCAAAAGTCATGGTACATGGTCATGAACTTGTTGGCTTGTTACTTTCACTCCGTGGTGATAGTATCCACGTTGTTTGGATCTCTTGCGTATTGTATTGTGATGTGAGTTGGTTGGTCGTTGGATTGAAGGATTCTTGGAACTTTGAAACCGTTCACCTTAATTGAGACTCAAATTATGTGAATTTTAGATATTCTTTCCGTTCAATCTTTCTACCATTCATATTTTTGTACTACCTCTAAATATTTTTTCTTTAACTTCACATTTCGTTGACTGTGAAATTTCACAGTCATTTTTATAGAATTTTTAACTTTTACTCAGCAACTAGATACATTCTGTTCCGCCACTCACCATGTCTGATGTTTGATAATTACTCCAAACGATACATTTTTTTCATGTATTCATACTTCTATAAATTAATGTTCAAATGTTTGTGTGAAATGTTTTTCTTTGTTTCTTAGATAATAAATTTTTTCACGAATTTCATGTTAAGACTTCAAAATAATAGTGATAGAGAAATCGCTGAAAAAAATAAATAATCATGATATTGAAAAAAAAACCTCGCATGTCTGTGTTTTTGCACGTAATTTTTTCTCAAAGAAATACAAAATATGTTTACAAATTTTTCTCATCAACATAAAGAATATGAGTAAAATTTGAAAATGAATTATATATGTGATGTAGCGTGTAAATATTGATTTGAAATATGTTAATGTATATTATGAACTTGTATTTTTAAAAATTAAAATTAGATAAAAGTTAAAAAATATTTGATTTTGATGAAAAAGATAATAAGTAATTCAAGAAAGATTCAAAAAATAAAATAAAATTATAGGATTAAATTTTTTTGAATATTTTTCTACATGTTTTCTACTAATTAGATCAACCAAATGTTTTATTTTGAATATAATTTTTTTTAAATCTCAATTTTTAGAATAAGCATCTCATTCACATATAATATTACAAAAGTGATACTAAAAGTCTGATCATTCAACTCATTAGACATAGATCAAAGACATTAACTTAAATCTTTGAGCTTTCATAAACTCAACAAATTTTGAATTTTAATCAATTCAACATCAAATTTCGTATATTTTTTTAATTATTATATTATCGTGCAAATTTTTTCTCTAATGATTCATAGAATATGACGTGAAAACATTTATTGAATCCAATATTATATCAGACATTAAAAAAACTCATTCTTGTATCATATTTGCTAGAAATGATAAGATTTGATTGTGGTTCAGTTTTTTTATGTAGAATTTAGCCATCAAGTAGATTTTAAAAACACTCTTTCATCATATCTTCTATTCTCTTTCAACTTTTTTATATATATATATATATATATATATATAGTTGCTATTCATCAAGTTATATGAAAGCTTTTCTAGCTTTCTTGTCAATTAATTGTTTCATCTCAACTACATAATAATCTTCCAAGTAATCTTATTGACATATAAACGATTTTTTTATAAAAATCTATTTTTTTACAAGATAAATGCAATTTCATCATCATTTCCAATGTTAACAATTGATAATCTTTACATATCTCATATCTAGCTGA